GCTGGGGCCCAGCTCCACGGCACCAACGGGGAGCTCAGTGCCCCATGCTGAGGTGAGCCTCTCCCGGTGTTCTTTCCCCAGCCTCCTCTGCAGCCCTCTGGCCCCGTCCTCACGCACCACGCTTTCTAGAACCTTCCTACGGGGTCGACAGTTAGGTGGGCTTCATGTGTAGGGCAGCCTGTCTCAAAGCACCTGGTGCTGCTCGCCTCTGCACACTGCTGCTTTTCCAGGCAGCTAGAGCGCTTGAGCATGAATAGGAAAAGCGCCACGCTGGCTTAAGCCTTGATGACCAGTGCAGTCACCAGGCCAGGACACAGCCGCTGTGGTTAGAGTGCGGAGGCACTTACCAGCCAGGACAGGGAGGCCTGGAGCCCTGCTGGGAAGGGCCAGGGGTGCTGGCAGGTGGAGGCCCTGTGGACATGCGCCCCTCAGGGATGGACGGACAGACGACTGCTCTCTGCTACTCATCTGTCACAGAGGCTCGCTGTGGGTTTGTGCCTCACCCCCAGACTGCCCGTGGGGCGAGAATAGGCTTGCTAGGAGGTAACCCCCAGGGAGGCTGAAACTAGTGAGGACTCCGCGTGGTGGCACCTGCTGGCCCAGTGGCAGGAGAGAGAGCAGGCTGGCCAGGTGAACATGCTGGCCAGACAGCCCTGTGCCCAGCATGGCCGAGGAGCCCGTCAGCCTGGCTGGGGCTGTTTAAATGGAAGGGCTGGCACTGCTCTGTGGAAGGGGTGGGACTGCATCCCTTGCAGGAAGCCACGGTTTGCTATGGCCTTCCTGGCCTCAGGAGCTGGGCAGGGCAGAGGCACAGATGCATACCCCAGCCCCCCAGCCTTGGGCTCTATCCTCAAGCAGGAGCCTGTGGCTTCACCTGGTGGGGAGGGGGGATGGAGTCAGCATTTTGTGCAGAAGTCTGGGGCACAGCTGCTCTGGGGCACTGGGGGCAGAGGGATTCAGTTTGCCAAATGAGATGAAACTTTGATTTGACCTCTCTCCCCAAGTCCTCAGTTTCCTGCCAGTGAAACAGTGAATTTATCCAGGTTTTTCCCGGTAAGCCATGGCTGCTCCTTCGGACCAGGACAAATGCACGCGAACAAAGGTA